TCGGGTGAGGTGAGTTCCAAGTATAATGGCCATCAGTGGGTGGTCGTTGCCTCGATCCGCTGGAGCTGCCACGTCCGCGACCACGGCCCCGGTTTCCACCGCCCCGTCCGTGACCTCGTCCATAGCCGCTACGTTGTCCCGAGGAGCCTTCGCCATAGCCGCTGCCAAAACTGCAGCGGTGACTTCATTGTCCGTCATGGTGATTTGGGGGGAGGACGCCGGCAGGAGGTTGCCGAGAGAGAGAGAGAAACCGGCGGCTGAGAGAGGAGAGCCGAGAGGGAGGCCGGCGCAGGGAAGAGAGGAAAAATTTTAGGGTTAGGGTTTATGTGGCTCCGATACTATGTAGAAAGAATATTTTCATTGATGAATTGTGGTGATTACATGTGTATATATACTAAGAATTTCAATCCTAATAATGGTAGGAGAGACATAGTAGGAAGGTGATACAGTTATGTTAACAATATAATACAATAATATTAAATATAAAGAATATATTTAACAGGCATCCTGCTCTAGATTATTTTTTTATTTGGTATCTTGTTGCAATGAGTCGCTTGCATGCTGTCTAAGTGCCTATTTTAGACCAAACGACGTATGTTTTTACAAAACCTTTTGGGCCGTGCAATGTTCCACTAGTTTTGGTCCAAGATTGATGTCTTTGAGGGATCTTCTATTTTTTTTGGGGGGCATAGTTTATATTGTCTAGGTTTTATGTATTGAAAACGTTAGGGTGCTTCAATATGATTGCTACTTGAGGTTTACATGCTTTGCATATATGATTATCATCTTTGTTGTACAAATGATTTTTATCAAAGGATATGCTAGGGGTACACCAAAAGTATACCCCAAATGTACACCAATCAATCTCATTTACGCCTTTGAGTAGTATGGGTACATCCTTGGTCCTAACAAGACCCTTATATATTTGCATACATTTTCATTCTTATCCTTTTTTTATTCCAATTGGTTTTGCTCTTGTTGTGTAAGACTTTGGATGTCATTTTTTAAAATGTAATTTTTATTTATTATTGATAAACCAATTTATAAATAAAATGATTTAAAAAATTGTGAGATTTTATTTCATAATTTTCATTTTGTAATCAAAATAGAGATGAAGGGAGTATTAAAAATGTGTAATAAGAAAAATAAACAATAAAAATGAGTAATAAAATGTACATTCTCTGTTTGTTATAAATCTTTCTAGACTAATAATAATAATGTTTGCTTATTTTTCTACTCATTTCATAAAATAATATTTTATAGTTTGGTGACCACTAGTTTAGTAGAATTTGTTATTTATTTTTTTATTATATAAATTTGATTTTTAAATTTTATCTCTACAATCAAATAAATTTAATTGAAAATAAAATTGGTCAAACTTGCCTTATGAGAAGATCTTTGGTGGAGGGAGGGAGTAATTAATAAAACAATCATTTAAGCATAGTTTTAAAAATCGGATCTAACTGGTCAGTTTGGACCGTGAACCGGCAAACCGGTGGTCTAACCGGGTTGATCCAGTCCTTTCAAATCAATCCGAACCAGTAGGGGTGTGCATTATTCGGTCCGGACCCGGACCGACCCGAAACCCGGCCAAAACCGGACAGGACCGGTCCGGACCGGTCCTAATTCGGTCCGGTCTTCGGTCCCCAATTTTTTCTTATTCAGGTTCCGGTCCGGTCCGGTCCACCGGGTTTCGGTCCGGACCGGTGGACCGGTTAAAATTTATTTTTTTTTATTTTTTTTCAATATACTTTTATAATATTATATTTTTCTAAGGTTTTTTCTTATACTTAAAATTAATTTAACTTTAATACTAAAGATTTTTATATGTTTTGATTTTATTATTTAATATAATTTTTTAAATACATTATCAATTCAAAATAATATACGGAGTATGAGTTATAATGATTTTGAAATATTTTTAATATAAAAGTGTAAAAAAGTAACATTACCTTTATATTAGAGATCTAATGCATTTCTCATATATTTACCAATACGATCACTTAAATTTATATTTTATCAATAATGAAAAGCTAATCCGCAAAAACTAACAATGTGAACAATCTCAGGAACAAAATACTAAAAAATGGATCCGTTTGTCAAAATAAATCAAAAACTCAAAAAATATTACAAAAAAACAAAAAAGAACTAAGAAGAAGAATATTATGTATGTAAAATAAAAATTACGAACAAATTTTATGTAATACGGAAGTTATATACGGAGTATTTTGTTTGAAGTTCTTTAAAAAAAAATTCAAAACAACTATGTATGACTATGTTTAGTGCATGTTATAATTAAAAATTAGTTGTAGTTATATTTTTATTCAATTGAATACTTAAAATTAAATAAATAAAATCAAATTTTAAAAAAAAAATAAAAATAACCTTTATTCGGTTCGGTCCCGGTCCGGTCCGGTCCCGGTCTGGTCCTTAGCTTAATCGGTCCGGTCCTCGGTCCACAAAATGCTCCTTATTCGGTCCCGGTCCGGTCTCGGTCCGGTCCGGTCCGGTCCGGTCCGGTCCGGGTTTGACCCGATGAACACCCCTACGAACCAGTGTGAACCTATAACAACCGGCCGGTCAAACTGGTCGGACAATTTTTTTCCTTTTTTTGCTAGTTTTTGCAATCTTTTCCAAAAGCATACCACTATGGAATTTGAACTCAAGATCTCTTAGACATTTAGTTAAGTTCCTAACAATCAAAGCTAGGATTCTTTTTATTACAAGTTCACTTAATCTTTTATAATACTTCATAATTAAAAAAAGATTGTATAAATATCCTTTTCAGTTTAAAAAATATAATATTATATAGCTATGAGTCAAACACAAAATCATTGATATAATTGATATTATTACAAAATACATTTCATACAAATATTTCATTAGAGTGTCTTTTAATATTAAACAACTTATTTGAAAAAAATCAAATCAACTCTTCATTTATAAAATTTTTAATATTGTTTTTTAAATATGTAAATTTTATTTTTTAACTTATTAAAATAACTCAAGTACATTAATATCGTTTTAGTCAAATGTTATAAATTACTTTCTTTAGGTATTTATAAACGAGGGTGTGTGTGTATGTATCTATAACTTTTAAAATATGCTTAAACCACCGGTTCGACCAGTTGGATTACTGGTTCGACAACTGAACCAGTACCTTGACTGGTTCGGTCACCGGTCTAGTTCTAAATACTATGTATAAGGTTGTTGATCAAGCCGAATTATTTTTAGGTTTGTTTTAGGTTCTTTAATGAAATTTTCGTTTAAAATGTAATATTTTCATGTTGTGTTTCAAATACGGAGTATAAAACAAGTCAAAGACGATTTTTTTACAAACTTACCTTCAACTCCCATTATTACTTTTTGAACCAAATGCAAATTTTATTCATCAATTCCTCTCATAATGTAAAATCAGTACGAAAACAAATACAACCGCTCTGCAGCCAAATACTAATAAACCACAAAGAAAACACATCCAGGGAGGGCCTGAAGTTTTAGAGTTCAAAATGTTTGTGTGCAAGATCATGTTTTTTATTTTAGTATTCAGTTATTCACTACAAAAAAAATGCGGAATTGGCACAGATTTTGACACGGAGTTCAGTTTCAACTTTTTCCGTGCTTAGACTATTTGGCACGGATCGAGGTGGTAAAGACAAGCAACAAATGCCATAATCTTCCTTCTCTTATTCATTATATTGGAGCAATACCCTGAAGTTGCTAAAAAATTTCTGCAATACAGTCTCCCTCAAAATGGTGTTGACTCCAAGCATAGACCCTCCTATATATAAAGCTCTTTCTTTAGTATAGGGGCAAAGTACAAAAGAAATGATGACTATCTTCCTCTGCAGTTTGAGAGAGCAAACATTGAGTGCCAATTCAAAACCATTTGCTTAATCTGCTTTTGGTCTCAAGTTTGTTCCTATTCTTGGGTTATAGGGAACAAATCTATCTATGTGCACAAAAGAGTTTTCAGTCGGGATCTTTTTCAAATAGAAGTAGGTATCACTTTTGTTTTTTAGCAATTCCATTATTTTTTTTTGAATGTTATTGACTCTATTACAATGTAGTATCTGTTCATAGCAATTCCATTATTGCTCACAAAAGGCTTTGAAGAATGTAGTAGAATCCTAGGAAAGAGACTTGAAGGAATTGTGTGTATGCAAATCACATCTAGTTAATTGATAATTTTACTTTTTACTTTTTGGTTTGAAAATTATTCTTTGTTTTTTAAAAAAGTAAAAAAAAAAATTATAGTCTACAATCTTTCTTTTTTTAAAACAAATTTCAATGATCATTTATTTATTTTTCAAAACTTTTCTTAAATTTGGCAAATTCAAACTATGAGAACAATTAAATGGGGAGAGTGTAATTTATGAGTAATTTATCAATTGGCACCTCTTTCCATTTCCTTATCACTACTCATTCTCCTCATACTTCCCTCCACATCATCAATTTTTATGCAATATCATTTTCTCCTTTTATTTTCCAAACCTCAATTCTACCATTCTTCTCCTTTTTTTTATCTTTGTTACAAATATTTATTTTATTCTCAACCAATCAAAATTTATTTCATTATGTTACACCAATAAAATAATTTCTTTCTCTAAGAGCATTTTATTTTCCCCGCAACCACATCCTCTCACTTTTCACCATGCTCCTTTGCCACATAAACAATTTGAATATTTTTTTAATAGTGCAGAAAAAGTATTGAAATTAATATCCTCTCATTCAATTTGTGAAGTAGCATATTTTGTTTGTTTTACCATTTCTATTAGCAGAGAGAAACAAAAGGGTACCAATGTCTAATTACACTACTGTCAATAAGAATCTAACCATGATAATCACCTTAAAATAGTTACCCATATTCCTACTAATTAATTTTTTTGTGAAAAGTCTTCCACAGTTCCTCCACTAGTTGGGTACAGAAGAATTACCTTTACACAGGTAATGAAGAACACCATTCTTCCTACTGCCTACTGGCACTCCATTGTCAACTGCTCTATTCTCCAAAGTGTCACTCTCAAGTTTCAACCTCTGTTTCTACTGCAACTTCCAAATCGAAAGCCACCTTAACATCAACTTTGCGGTCATCCAAACAGCTCCGCTCGCTCTTGCTCAAGCTTTCATCATCATCATCATCATCATCATCATCATCATCACCATCATCGTCATCATCATCATTATCACCACCATCATTTGATGGGGAATCATTCATGTCTTTAGTTGGTAAGATGAATGGTGAGTGCTGCAATGGTAATACATCATGACTTAGGACTTGCCCGGTCCTTAACCTCTCCTTATAATCCTCCAACTCCAATCTGTAACGTTCTTTGTCCTTCACAGCCCTCTCCTGATAAATCTGGTCCCATCAAAATCTTAGTTCATGAGCCAAAACACAGAGAAACAAGGGCATGTTTGGATCTCGGGAAATGCTAGGGAGGGGGAGGGGGTTGCCACATTATTTTCTAGTGTTTGATTTTACGATGGAAAACGCAATGGGAAAATGACTCAATGGTCTGTTAAATCAGAAAATGACAGGGAAGGAAAGAAACAGCGTGGAAATATATAGGAAATTTTGAAGGCAAAAAACATGGAGGGAAATGAAAGTGCTTCTTTTGAGGAAAAACAAGAAAAAAAATCACATTATCCCCTTTTTCCCTAGCAATTTCCGGGATCCAAAGAAAATAAAAGAGATGGAAAAAACATAACAGAAGTTGAAAACAATATGGTTAATACCGCTTTTTCAGAATCATTCAGTTTGTTCCATGACTCTCCAATCATCCTACTGATCTCCCTATCTTTCCCAGTAAAGAGTGGTTTCAATTTCCCGTGCTGTTCTTGAAAGAAAAAGTTATAACCACTTCTGTTTGGCTTTGGACGAAGAGGGTCTCTCCTTTTGATTTCACATTTCTTCCGACGCTTTCTCCTAACGGTTCCCAATGTGTTATTATCGTTGCTCTTTGCAATAACAACTTGCATTTGGGACACATCTTGATTATGTTGAACTACTTGATCTACCGGAGCGTATAGGACACCTTTGAATTCTTCTGACCCTATTTTTACCGTTATCAGATACCCACTCTCAAACTTCCCATCAATAACACCATACACTTCTGAACCTTCTGACGGTCTCACAGTTTCTGCAAGCACAAGCATATATAGAACTCTCAAGGCCATATCTTTGCTGAAATAATTTTTTTTAAAAATGTGCCAAGTGCTGCAAGGACATAATAGATAAGCAAATCTATTTTATCCTTTCTGAAAATACAGCACATTCAGCCCTTACCAAACGGGCAGAATGATCTATTTTTTGTGAGCAAAGGTCTGGCCAATTCTTCTTAGTAGTACAATAAATAGTTTTTGACATGTTTTTTTAAATGGAGATTACTAAACATTTTTCCTTTTGAAAAGTTAGGCAGGTTCAGTCATTTCATCCAAACCATCCCTACCAAACTAGCCCTTATTGTCTAAAATTGGTAAGCACTGAAAATTCATACAAAAAAAGAGTAAATTCCATAATTGGTTCTTTATAACAGGGGGGTTTCCCTATATAGTCCTCTATTATCAAATATTACCCCGGTGGTCCTTCTTTTATGAGTATCTTTCCACAAATGGTCCTTTTTTATCTTCTATCATGTTAGTGTTAATTTGAGGGCTAAAAGTATAATTTCACAATGGTAATATATCTTTCTTGTCATACTCAATTCCAAAGGCTGCTCCTGATGCATTGTTTGTAAATTACAGTCGTTTTCTACTATAATCATAGTCTTCTTTCGGCAGAATCCTAGCTCAAAATCAGTCATTATTTTTTGTTATTCGTCTAACCAATATCAGAATACGTCACTGGACATAAGGTTGATGTCAAATTATATTTTTAGTTTTTTAATTAACATCAACATGGCAGAAGATTAAAAAAGGACAATTTGTGGAAAGGCACCCATAAAAGGACTACGGGAGTAATATTTGATAATAGAGGACTAAATATGGAAACTCCCTTGTTATAAAGGACCAATTATGGAATTTACTAAAAAAACGGATTATTTATGCACGTGATCATGAAATGATAAAAAAGAAAGAATTGCTTTTTTTCAACAATCCTATGGAAAAAGTCAAAAAACACATTTTGCCTGCTTTAATTGAAAACTGTGCTACCTTTTGCTGCTATTACTGTTTGTGGAAGGGGCACTTCCACTGGAGTAACTGTTTCAGACAACCTGGTGGGCGGAGCAGTTATCGTGGCAACATTCTTCAAAGCATCTGCAGATGATCACATTTTCAGTTCTTTTTTTGAAGAAAAAAACATCTCATGAATAACAAGAGAAAACTTTGAAGGTTTTTCACCCACCAGCTGATGGAGTCCAACATTTAGCATTAAAAAAATAGATTCGCTCATAGTGGTGAAGCAACGAAGCATAATATTTCCTAAGAACGAAAGAAGCATTTGTAGCTGAGGAAGGGAAGCTAAAAATAGAAGTCACTTCTTTCCACCTTTTATCTCCAAGAACCTGAAATCCCATACCTCGTGTAAAAATTCAATTGCAGTTAAAATAGAGGCAAAAAACAAATCACTTTAAGCACGATAGAAGATTTCTCTTTATATAGATCTCCAAGTTTCTAAGTTAAATATGACAGATTTAGTGACTTCAAAATGAACCTTAAAGCTGTGAACAAAAACATAATGCTGATTGCTATTTAATTTCAAGTCTAGCAACAATCAATTATGTGCAAAATATAAGATCTATACATCTATACTACATCTGTGATCTGTCCCAAAGAGAGTCATGACAAAGCTAAAACTTCTTAATTTGAGCAAGTTACAACTTACAAGTATTTTAGAATCTTCAATGGCTTATTTACTTAAGAGATTTGCTATGGTTTCTTCTTTTCCTTTTTGGGATACTTCTATGCAATGTAATCCCTATTACAAAAGGGACTTTTGCTTTTGTTATAAAACATCCAAGAAAGACATAAGAAGAAAACTCCCCAAGTTCCAGAGGAGAAGAAAAAATCTATGATTTCCGTTGACCCATTCCGTTTATCCTTTCAGTTTGTTTCCATGAAGGAAAGAATTTTGGTACATAACACTATGTTACATGTTAGTCACATAAGAAAGCAAAGAGTCTTGATTTCCTCTAGTAGGCCTAAAAGAGAAACTTTCAATTCAAAACATTACTAGCCATAGATTGTGAGAAGATAGAGGAACATTATTTATAATAATAAAAAAAAACTTACCTTTGAAAGGCCACCTCTAGACGTAACCTCCACAAAGAGACGATGTAAGTCAAGGTATTTCCCTCCAATCACAGGAATCCTAAAGAATCACAGTTTTGCAAATATAAATTTCTTGATAGAAAAGGTGCAGTGTATAATCACCACAACATAGAAGACAAAGATTTTCAGAATATGAGATGTTTCAACATTTTCTACAAGTAGCGAAATACTTAGCATAAGGACTAAAAGACGATCCTATATCTGATACTAATCTTGCTATCCCTAAAGTTTTCAAATCATTCGCGAGTTATATCCCAACTTTGTTGGTGTCATTAGGTCAAGATGTCTGCAACCTTACCACTGTAACAAAATATAGAGGTTGATTTTCCTTTTGACCCTTGATGCATTACTGTCCAAAACTTCATACAGAGTAAAAAGTAAGAAGCAAGGAAGTTTAATGTCACATTTTTATTTTGTTACATTATTTTTCCAATGCTAAAACATTGCAAATGCATTTTTAGTTTCACCCCTCCACAATCTTGTCGGGCCAGAGTGTGGGGGCGCCTAGGGTGGGCGACATCTACTGCACGCTCAAGCTGGACCCCACATTTTGCTATCCTGAATTGGATTTCACTTATTGATTTTTTATGGAAGGGAAAAACATCTGACCATTGGGCAGAATAAGGCACATTTGGTATCTAACACGAGTAAAACAAAGTGTTACTATTCCAACCCAAGAAGACATTTAAAATAGACATACTTGCATTATAGAGCAGAAGAAAAAAGAAGAAGAAATGACTGAGTACAGTTAGAAAGCAAAGAAGATGGGAAGCAAGAAAGATGGAGGAACATAACATACTTGAACTTGGTACCAAGAGAAGCATGGAGCTTCTGGAGTGTGTCGATGAAGAGCTGAGGTGAGGCCATGACATCCTGATATGAAGCCAGAGGAGGCGGGTATGGGTAATAGGTTCTAGGAGGGGGGTGAACTTCTCTCAGTGGCATTGGGCTATTATCATTACTACCGCCATTGTTCTTGGCTTCCAGTGTAGGATATGATTCCATTTCACACAAGACTTTTATCAAACACCTTGCAGATGGTGAACAAAACATATACGCATACACACATGCAACAATTGCTGATCAAAGATTCCCCTTTTCCCCTGCAATGAAGCCCAAAATCAAGCGGAGATTCATGCTTATTATGGAGTGTATAATTAATAATGAGAGATTAGCTAAATAAAAAATGCGTCCTGGGAAAACTTCAAAAGGGACAGATGAGAGATATTACTCTGACGATTAAGAAAATCAAGATGACTTTTTTTTCAACCACTAACACCATTAGTTATTATTCTCTCCGTCCTAAAATAAATACACATATGTGAAAATTACATTTTTTTCAAATTTATTTTATTTATAAATTATTATAAAAATAAAAAACATAAATTACGTATTAAAAAACTACATCAAAAGTTTTATTAAATGATCAATGAAATATACTATATCCCTCCATACTATTTGTCAAGTTTTGATTTTTTACAGTTGAATACATTCGACATTTGGTCTTTTATAAGTTATAACATGAGGATTTTTCTATTTAGGCCTCGTTCCATTCAACTTATTTTTTCTTATTCTTATTAAAATCATATCACATCAGACCGGATCAAATCAGATCAGATCGAATCACATCAGATCAAATCGAATCAGATCACATCAGATCAGATCCAATCAGAGCATATAAGATGAGATCAGATCCAATCAAATTAGATCAGATTCAATCACATCAGACCATATTATATCGGATCCCATCAAGAATTATTATTATTATTATTATTATTATTATTTGAACAAATGCACACAATTTTTATACACCACATCAACTAAAACAAGTACAAATCAAACAACCACAGCAAGGCTAAACAAGCATCCCTAGCTTAGCCACACCTTTTTTAACTTAGCATTAATATAGACTCTAACATGATCCCTAAGCCAAACACTACATTCTTCAGGGGGTATAATAATAATAATAATAATATTATTATTATTACAAATGAAAAGGAATAAACTTTACAAACAAGTTAAATAAAAAACTAAGAAACTAATCCTTAATTATTAGACATCTGAAAAATTAATTTTAAAATACATTGACAATGTCAATCTATTTCTACTTTTAAAATATATTTTTATTGCTACCTGTAATTTGAATTTCTAAAGTTTTAATCTTTTATAAGGATGAGATATTTTAATAAAAAATACTATCTCTTCTCTATATCGATTATCTAAATTTAATTACTTTTTAATGTATATTTAAATTAAATATTTATTATAATGTATATGAATTAATTATTAAAATATTAAATCAATATTCTTATTTCACAAAAAAATAATTATAAAATAAAAAATATTATTACATTATAATATGAATGATTATTTTAATATATGAATTAACTAATTTTATTTTATTAAAAAACAATCATAAAATAAAAAATATTGATTATGTTATAATATGAATTATCATTACAATTTTCAAACGTAATTATAAAGTCAAATCAAATTATTGATTTGAATTTTAAATCAAATCATAATTAATGAGATCAGATCAGATCGAATCAGATCGGATCAGATCAAATCATATCAGATCAAAACTACAAAAAATCAAATGAGATCAGAAAAATAAGTTGAATGCAACGGAGCCTTAGTCATTTATTAACAAATATTACCCCGATGATTTTTCTTTTATTGTATCTTTCTACAAATAGTCTTTTTAGGCTCCGTTTCGTTCAGCTTATTTTTTCTGATCTGATCTGATTCTAATAAGTTCTGATCTGATCTGGTCTGATCTGATCTAATTGGATCTGATCTGATCTGATCTGATTGGATCTGATCTAATCTGATTGGATCTGATCTGATCTGATTGAATCTGATCTGATCTGATTGGATCTGATCTGATCTGATCTGATTAATTATGATTTAATTTAAAATTTCAAATCAATAATTTAATTTGACTTTATAATAACGTTTGAAAATTGTAATGATAATTCATATTATAATATAATCAATATTTTTTATTTAATGATTCCTTTTTAATAAAATAAAAATAGTTAATTCATATATTAGAATAATCATTCATATTATAATGTAATAATATTTTTTATTTTATGATAATTTTTTTNATCCTTATAAAAGATCAAAAGTTTAGAAACTCAAATTACAAGTAGCAATAAAAATATATTTTAAAAGTAGAATTAGATTGACATTGTCAATGTATTTTAAAACTAATTTTTCCGACGTCTAATAATTAAGGATTACTTTCTCAGCTTTTTATTTAACCTATTTCTAAAGTTTATTCTTTTTCATTTTTAAGAACAATAATAATAATAATAATGATGATGATGATGATGATGACGATGATGATGATGATGATCATAATAATAATAATAATAATAATAATAATAATAATAATAATAATAATAATAATAATAATAATATAATAATGATAATAATTCTTGATGAGATCTTATTTTAATAAGTCTTGATCTGATCTGATTGGATCTGATCTGATCTGATTGGATCTGATCTGATCTGATTCGATCTGATCTGATTCGATCTGATCTGATCTGGTCTGATCTGATCTGATCTGATTTTAATAAGAATAAGAAAAAATAAGAAAAAATAAGTTGAACGGAACGGGGCCTTAATCTTCTATAATGTTGGTGTTACTTTGAGGACTAAAAGTGTGATTTCACAATGATAATATATTTTTTGTCATACACAATTTTAAAGAATGCTCCTGATGCATCGATTGTGAATTACAGCCGCTTTCTAGTTTGTACAACAATCAGTGTCTATAAATGTGGTGTTTTGCATTCTAGTCGCAATCATAATCAATATTTTTGTGTTGTTCATTTAACCAATATCAAAATAGGTCACTCGACATAAAGTTGATGTCAAAGTATACTTTTAGCGTTTAAATCGGGACATTTTTTAATTGAACTGAACGGAACAGCAACCTTTCGTTCAGTTTTTGGTTTTGTATAAACATCAAAACAATAAATTGAACCCAAACCTACATATTGTTATTCTTTCATCAGGTTAGTATTTTTACAATTTTTCAATGCTTATAAATTTTTATTTTTATAAACCGAAAAATAGAAAAAAATTGAAATAAAAATCGCACAACACTGATCTGAATAACTAATGATTTACATATTTTTTTATGCAAAACCAAATCGAACTGAACCGTCAACTTACCTTCCATGTTGTCTTTAGTTTTGAGTGAAAACCAAACCGCCAACACCGAACCTTAGAGAACCTACAAATCTAGCTTTAGCCATTCTACCAAAATTTCCTTCTTCTTTAAACCACAAGACTAGAATTTTCAACATTGCCCCATATATATCAGACTCGTTTAACTCTTTTCAACTTTTGACCTATAATTAAATAAAATTTATATTTTATATTAATTAGAGAAAATAAAATTTTGTAAAAGTTTGATATAATAATTCTAATAAAATTATTTTTGTAACAATATCTAATATCATTTTTATTTAATTGAGGTTAAAGTTTATTAAGTTTGACCAAAAAAATAAAAAATGAACAAATACCCAGGGAGAGACACAGACAGTAAACAGCTTTGTATAAACGGGATAGTATATTAATTACTCTATAATAAATAATGTAAGCGAAATAGGGAGCAGTAAATGAACTTTGTCTTCTGAAAAACATTTATAATGGGTAGATGGTGGTTCATAATGATCAAAATGGATAGTTAATTATTTTGGGCAATTAATTGAATCATGAATGATATATTAATTTTAACAAAAAAGAGAGAAATGGTAAGGGGATAAATATTAAATTAATTAATGGACAAAATATTATTTCCCTCCGTCACTAAAAACATTGAAGATTTTGATTTTTAAGAGATCTAAGGGAAGTGTATTTTTGTATTGAGGCAGTTGAGTTTCCAAAAATATCATTTGATGTGATAGGTAAAAGTACAATTGGATAAGTAGATTAATAAAGAATAAATGTGATGTGATAGGTAGGTTAAGAATTACTAAGGGTAAAAGTGACTTTTTAGTATAAATGAGATTTTTTTTTAGACGGATAAAAACAGAAAGAAGAAAGGTTTTTAGGAAGGGAGGGAGTATATTAATAAAGAAATCACCCTAAATATGACTAAAACATAGATAAAATATCAAAATAAGATTTTCGTGTTTTTATTCTCGAAATAAGAGTTTGCACTGTGGTAATGTGGTACTGTACATGTGCATTTTACCGAATGTACATGGTCATGATTGGTCATTATATATATATATATATTTTAACTCCTATTTCGGGAATAAAAACAAAGATCTCTAATTTTGATATATTTTCAATATTTTACTCATATTTCTATCTTTTTCTCATATTAATAATGATAATAATTTTTTTTAATTGCTAAGTGTTTAAAAAAATCTCGTTTGTGGTTTGAGAGCAGTGAAAATGCTCTTGATGTCGGGGGGCACCATGGGGCGTTTAACGCCTCCTCAGTATTAAACACCACCCCCTTCGGGTTTCATCCAGGCGTCATCGCCCTGCGTCAAACATTTAAGCGTTGATCTCGCCCAACGGCTATTTTAGTCGTTACACACAAAAATATTCTTTAATTTTTGAGAAATTTAGCTAAATAGAACTAAAACATAATGACTTTTCCAATATAGGACCATATGTTTTTATTTCCCAATGTAGGACCTTTGGTCATTATGAAGTAGTCATTATTCAAGTGAATGTCCATCATTACTGGTCATTATTCCTCCCACTAGGTCATTATTTAGTCCTATTTAGGGAATAAAAAAGTTTAAGTCCCACATTAGAAAAGTCATTATGTTTTAGTCCTATTTAGTGCAAATTTCACTTAATTTTTTTATAAATATCAAACCTCATTCCCCAATCTTCTTCACATCTTTTCTTTCTTCAATATCCAATCCTCAATCTTCTTCACATCTTTCCTTTCTTCAATTTTTGTTAACATGAATCCCTCCGATTCTTCCCTCGACGGTCTCGATCCAAACAAGTACGCGATGTGGCTCTTCCAATAATGAAGGTGTAATCTAGTTTCACTACTACAAAAACGACCAAATAAATCCCCCCATTTGCATTGTTAAGCAAAACAAACGATGTAAATGACAAAAAAATTCGCGTATCGCTTAGCTTTTGGATCGGTTATTCCTAATAACCGATTCGCAAGGATATTTGAATCGGTTATTAGGAATAACCGATCCAAATGCTTTTAGCTTTTTGGATCAATTATTCCTAATAACCGATTCAAAAGGTATTTGAATCGGTTATTACGGATAACCGATCTAAAAAGCTAAGACTCTTTTGGATCGATTATTCCTAATAACCGATTCAAATAACCTTTTGAATCGGTTATTAAGGAATAATCGATCCAAAAGAGTATGATAAAACACATCCAATCCTACCTTATTCTTACGTGATTTTTTTTAAAAAAACCTCCAAACCCTTTCTTCGTCTTTGTCGTGCTCGCTCCTCGACGTTGCCCAAGCCGTTGTTGTTGCTCGTTGTGCGCCTCGCCGTCGTCAACTCCCCAGCCTTGTCGTCGTCGTGCCTGTGCCGCCTCGAAATCTGCTCCACTTCGCCCTTGTCAACCTCACCGTGTGCCTGTTGCCTCGCCGTCGCCGTGCCCGTTGCCTTGCTGTCGCCGTGCCCGTTGCCTTGCCGTCGCCGTGTCGTGCTTGCTGCCCCGCCGTCGCCGTCGTCAACTCCCAACCTCTCCGTCGTCCCTTTTTTATGGTATTTTTTTTATTTTTTTAAACTTTAAATATTTAATTATACTATTACGGAGTATTTGTTTATATATTTTTGCATTACGTTAATATTTAATTTACTATATATGTTTTGTGTATATGTTTAAGTTGAAATGTTTAATTTGGGGGCAACACCAATTTCTTCTAAAGCCAACTTGAAGTGATAAAAAATATAGGAAAATGCTAAAAACCCCCCACCCTTGCTACCACTCATGCCCCCCTACATAAACATGTGGTAAGGAGGCAAGAAAATTAAAATTAGAGGGTGGGTGGAGAATAGGTAGAGATAAATATGTGGTAGAGAAGTGGGTGGAGGCAAGGTTGGTAGCAAAGGTGGGGGGTGTGTAGCATGGTCCAAAAATATATTGTGTGTAAAAAAGTACAATATATTCAAACACGTAAAATGAAATATTTCAAGATATAATTTACAAAAATACTCCCTCCGTCCCAGTGTATTTGTCCAGTT